GACTGAGCAGATAGCAAGGAAGATCCAGTTGCTGGGGACTCAATGACCCATAGATTCTGACTGCCCTTATTCCCTCACTACAGGTGAAAAAAGACTTAGCAAAATAATTGGGAAATTCAGAAGTTTTTGTCCTTCCTTCTTTGTTTCTTCTTCTTTTTTTTTGTAGTATCTATATTCTTTATGGGTTATTTTAGGGCTACCCTTGAGTGCTTCATTCATATACGATTCCCATACCCATAGACCCAAGTCTTTATACATCTTTGATATGCATAAACAAAATTAATTCTTAAGTATTCCTATCTATTGAAACATGCCTTAAACTTTAAATCAAAGTGTTTGTGCTAGCAGTAGTAGTGGAAGAAACCAATTGTTTTAAATATAAACTATTTATATACCTGACCTTGCATTACCATTTTAAAGTTGTTTTAAAAATGCAATTTAGAAGCTGAACTGCTGCTGAGCTGCCACTTGGCGCCGGATGGCTCAGTTGGTTAGAGCGCATGATCTTAACAACAAGGTTGCCGGTTCGATTCCACAGGGGATGGTGGGCTATGACCCCGCAACTGGATTGAAAATGGTAACTGGACTTGGAGCTGAGCTGCACCCTCCACAACTAGATTGAAAAACTACTTGATTTAGAGCTGATGGGTTCTGGAAAAAACACACTGTTCCCCTTCCCCAATAAAATCTTTTAAAAAAGAAAAGCAAAAAATAAATAAATAAATAAAAATGCAATTTAGAGAGAATTTATCCTGATCAAATCGGGATAATGTATCTAGTGCTCCAATAAGAGGCCATGTTGTTAACCACACCCTGTGCTTCAGCCATGCTACTTCATCTGCCTGAGATGTCCTCCCCAAATTCCTGCTCCTCTTTCAAGAAGGAATCCCTGAATATTTGTATCTTTTTAAATGAGCACCATTCCTGGCATATTGGAAAGCACTTAATAAATATTTATGGAATAAATTGAAAGAGAAGTTTCTAAGCAGAGGCATGATTAAATAAGAGTTGTGTATTAAAGACAGGACACATCCTGGAAGGTTTTTGAAAGGTTGTTATTGATTCTAATATTACTAAAAGCAGGGTTCAGGTGAAAGGAATATTTATCTGTTAATTTGGTAATTTTAGGCAATAAATCCTTAAAATGAAAAAAATTAAATATACACATGATAATGTTAAAAATAAGTATGTGTTGATGAAAATCGCCCAGAATACATGTATTTTTAAATGAAATAAATGCATCACTATAGTGATGGATTGCTCTAATGAAAAATCTCTGTTTCCAGCTCAAATAATGATAATTTATCTGTTTAGTTGTCTCTTAGCAATTTCCTCAGTTTCTCCTTAAATTACGTTGGGTAAATAAAACAGCCAAACCATTGTTAGATTTTCTGAAGTGTTTATACATTAAACCTGCAAACTTCTCAAAATAAAAAGCTATTTAAAATGTATAGTGTTACTCAAAGAAAATTTAAGAATATGGCTCCACTGACTAAAAAATACATTCATGTAAAGCTTTTCAAATAGTTTCACTACTTTGTTTTAATTTTGGTGCCATCAGATATAGAAGCAAAACTACAAAAGTTACATGAAGACAATGTAATAAGCAGTACTACTATCTTAATTTTTGTAAAACCTGAAGTATTTTGATATGAGTAAACAATTTCTAATAATGTTTATCTATGATAGTTAAAAAACTTTTCAATAATAAGCACATCACTTATCCAACCTCAAAAGGCATGCCAGTTAAAGAAAGTCATCATTCGCTATATTCTATATCCTTTCAGAAATACCTATACTTTTATTAAAAATCTGAGTTAACGAAAGACCTTTAGAATAATAAGATTTTCCTCAACATTCCAATTAAAATTAATAAAATGCTACTATTTTTTAATAATTACATTTTTATCCTTTCATCTAAAGAGGAGTTATAACATTCACGTCTGCACCATAAATGTTGTAGCTAAAAATGAGATCTAGATTACTTAGTCTTCTCATGTCTTCTTTCCCATACATATTTGTAAATCTTGGCTTCAAATACTTACAATCCCAATACTGTTTTGCTAACAGAAGCAAACACTCTCATGGAAAGCTAATCCTAATGACTCATTAGGATTATACAACATTACTTATAAAGTTTCCATGAAAAGAGGCCCTTTATATTTAATCACTTTCATTTTGTTTGTACCATTTCCCAAGCCTAACCATTAAAACTTTAAATTTCCTATAGAGCCTACGGTTGACTAAAAATAAAAGGTTTTAAGTACATAACGAATGAGAAAATATTGAACTCATAAAGAGCCTCAACTTCAAACTTGAACCCTGTGACTCATTACCATAATGTGGGGCCCAACAGTGTTCATAAAGGTGTAGTTTATAGTCAAGGTATTTGCCTACTATGGTGGTATCCAAGAGACTTAGTGACCAGTTCAATACCTCTGTTTTCATGACTATTTTGATATCCTTCTGATTTTCTAATTCAGAATTCTTCTCTTGGATGATTTTAAGTTATAAAGATTTATTCTTAAAAAAAGGGGGGGGGTTATAGAAACAGTTATACTGAAACATGCCAAATATAAAGTGCCAAGTCTAAATTATAGAAGCTAGCCTAAATGTGTGCAATTTAAAATTGCTATGTCTGAAAACCATATTTAGCAACTCAATGAAAATCTGTGATGTAAGACATCATTAACTTGTTCTATAAAGTGTTCACATGTTATGAACTAATCACAGCATTGTTTCAGAGTTATGTTTAACTTCCTTACTTAGATGTAATGGTTGACGAGTGGGAGGAAATCATTTCTTTCCCTTTAATTCATGTTCTATTACTAACTAAATTAAACGCGATTTTGATATGAGGAAATAAAAAATCAGTTCATCTTCCAGGTTGACTCTAGGTTTAAGCTAGATGCAATTTAAATTTGGGTTTCCTGACTGCCTCTTTAAGTCTATTTCAACCAGTAAGTTCAGAACCACTTTATGTCTTCAAAATCAAATATATGTTTTCAATAATCAGTTATTTCACATGGAATTCTGAAACTACATAACACTGAGTAAAACACATCTTCCCTTTAGCCAGCATATATTTATTCATTCATTTCTTATTCAGCTTGATCTAAGTCAGAGACACAGTTGAGCATTTTTATGAGTCTTCCACTACAGGATCTGGCCATTTTGTTTAAATTCCTATGATACTGTTCATTTGGTACATAAAAATATTTATGTTTAGGGATTTCCAGAATTACCAATTTTTGAGATTCAAGTTTGTAAAGCACAGGACAATATAAATTGTATTCTGAAAAAGGTGAAGAGGCAAGGTCGAGCTTAAAGTGATACTCTAAACAGGGAACAAGCATTAGCAAATTGGTTAATTACGACCATGTTTTCATATTTATCAACTAAAACACATTTGTTTAAATTGAGACCTCCAGTATATTAGCCTTTACTGACAGTGAAAGATAGACCCCATGAACTTGACAAACACCAAAATCAATCAACCAACTCACCATGCGTAGCCCAAAACCTGTAGAGTAGAGGTGCATGCTGAATTAGTTCAATCATCAGTAAGGACTGAGAAATTACAACTTTGCTAGATGTTACAAGCATGCAAAGTTCCCTGGCCACAAATCCCTTACATTCTAATTAGGCAGACTGCACCTTCACACATGAAACATGAGTAAGTGTAAATATATTACTACAGTAAGCCTTACCTATGCAGAATCCTGGATAGCCCAGTTTTGTAGCCAATTTTCAAAAATTAATTTAAATTTAAACCTGGGATAGGTTAATCCAAAATACCAGAACTCACTTATTTTTCACATTTTGGTAGAAATCTTTCTGCCCTGTACCTTCTTCAAGTTTAAAACAGACAAAATCCTGTTAAAAATATCTCAAGTCACCATAACGCACAATAGCTACTGAACTATGCCTCAGACGTAGATACAGCAATGTGTACACGTAATACATCTGTCATTCCCCACCCTTGCCTGACTCCCACCCCCATATGCTTTGACATGGAGCGTGGATGCTACCAAGAGAAAAGTGACTCTTCGATTTATACTCCAATACATATACCAAGAGAAATACCCTGTACCTTGAAGACAAATGCTCTCAAACTTTAGTATGCATAAGAATTACGTGGGGTGAATATTTAAAATGTGGAAGTCTGAAGGTGGGGCCCAGTAGTTGGCATTTTAAACAAGTACTTCAACTGATTTTCATGCCTGGTCTACTGAACTTGGAGGAACACTGCTTTAAAGTCAAGGTTTTTAACCCTCACTCAAGAGAAGCCCAGCTATAGTGAGATCCTGCTTTCTCTTTCAGTTCCCGGCCTTCCTCAGCATTATTAGCATTGGCTGCTCGCCACTAGTTGTCAGTCTCCACTGTCCACAGCCATTATCTTGCCCTCCCACACTCCAGATCCTTCCAGGGTTTGGAGAGTCTGAAAGCAAGGTCTCCATCTGTCTGACATACAGGCACAGAGACAGACAGACAGACGCAAAGTGGAAAACTATGACATACAGCAATTAGGAAACAAGGGTAGTATCAATGATACTGATTGTGCAATATTGATTAAAAACTTAAAAACTTGTTTCAGACTTTTTTCAATGAAGAAGGATGTAGAAGACAGAGCTAGGCACCTGTGGTCTGGTTGCAGCTATGTCACTAACTAGCTCTGTGATCTCCAGTGTTATCTTCCTTTATTCCTAAACTAGGGAAACTGCCACTTTCCTTGCCAGACTTTCAGCAACGTTATGAAAACCAGCTGAACTTGTATTTGTGAAAGCACATTGGAAAACATAAAGCACAATACAATGACACGTGGTGTTTTTTAACAGAATAATTTATCATTTTTTTAAAATCTGAATAAACACAGTACTCTAGACATCATTGAAATTTTCCTTGATAACTGAATGTCTTCTAGTATCTCAGGGTCTTTTTACAAAAAATAAATTGTCATTGACAAAAAGGCAGAAGAAAATGCAGACCCTTGGACATACCCTGATGTTGATTTTTTGAATATATCCTTGAAATCGGCTTGTTTTAAAGACAATTGCCGCCGTCTCCTGAAAGTGGAGTACAAAAAAAAAAAGCTGGTTAATTGTGGCTTTATTGTATTTAGTTATTTTAGCTATAAATTAATAAACCATGTTTATAAATCCTGAACAGTTAAGACCACACAGAACAATTAGGAAATATCTAAAATAGCAATTTAAAAAACTTAACTAGAAATAGCCATAAGATTCTATTTGATTTTAGATGCTCTATTAATGTTTCAGAAAGTCTGGAATAAAGATTGACATTGAATACAACATTTATTGGCAGCTCATCTAAAAGACTAAACTAGCCAAATTTGGACAGACAGAAACACTTTTCCAGTAAATATATACTCGGCCTTGGACTGCTTTGTCCTTTTCTAGCTTTGTAAGCCTAAAGTTCAATTCTTAGCTGATATACTGTTTTGCCATAAAAACCTGAACACAAATGACAGACATTACAAGCTTTCAGAGAACAGATGGCTAATGTTCTTCTAGGTTCATTTACTACCAATTTTCTTATTTTCATACTGCTTATACTTAATAAATAAAACATATAAATAGATGTACTGTCTCCAAACAGAAGATTTTGTTTTTGTGAAGTCCTGTTATATATCTAACTCATTTGGGCTAATATGAAAAGCAACAATGAGCGTATTTCTGGTACTGCCTCAAAAATACAGTTTTAAAAATAGAGACTACTACACAAGCACTGCAGTATATGCAGTCAGCTCTCTTAAAAAATGAAAGTAAGCTGGCAGTTGTTTGAGGGGCTCTAACACAATATTGAATTTATTTACATTTATTTCATTTATGTTCTCATTAGCTTATACAAAGTAAACTTTACTAAGTATTATCCCTATCTAACTTTTTCTTCAAAAAAAACAGTTTGGGCCTTTTTCTGGGTCATCTCACAAGCACTGTTTCATTATTAAAGTCACAACTAAATCAATAGTATCTTTTAAAAGACCTTGGCAAAGACTTTATACAAAACATTATCCTAAATCTAATGACTTTTTATGCAAAAGGTAGGTAGCAAGTATTTTATTTCTTTTTAGAATGGTAATTTCAAAACAGTATCTTCTTAATGGCAATACTATTTCAAAGTCTATTTTTAAAATGCTATACACTTAAAGATTATTATTGTTGAATCATAAAAAGCTACGCATTAAATTTGTATGTGTCATGTTTTAGCACAAAGTCTCACCAAGCAAATAACGATGATACATTTTTGTTTAAAATACATTAAAGTATCTTCAAATATAGCTCATTTTATATTCCTATTAATATTATTCCATTCTTTTCTGTATTTAAGAAGAATGTGGTGTGCCACCTTCTGGTAACTGAGTGAAATTATGTATCTGCACAAGTCACTATCCTTTTAGGTTAACTTTATATATAGATAGATAGATAGATAGATAGATAGATAGATAGATAGATAGATAGATATTATATATAATATCTATATATAATATATAGATAATATATATATATATAGAAATTATATATAATTTCCAAACCTGTATTACATTTAAGCTGTATAAATAAACCTATACCACAGTCTGAAATAAAGTAAAATTTCCTTCGTGATTTTTTTTAAAATCAAGCTTTATACATGCTTCCTATGATTTTTGCGTGGTTACCAATATGTCTCCTGAATTCTATAATACATATAAAATTGATTTTTGTACACTGCTTCACAGCCACATATGAAAACAAACAGGCTTTCTATTTTAATGAATGAGTGGCCGCAGCAAATAAAGGAAAAGAAAGGTCTCTTACCAATAAGCCCATTTTTCTCTTAAGCTTTGAACTCTCATCATTTGTCATGTTCTTGTGGATCCCTCTCTCATCAAATTCTCTGGAGTTTTAAAGTTGAGAGCTGGGATGCACAGCTAGGCTCTGCTACATCATAGCGCACCCCAGTGCATCTGCCTGGTATAACACTTCAGTTGTAGTTCCCAAAAGTAGAAACAGGCTTTATATATTCAAAAACCTATACCAGAGGGTAAGGGGGGAGGGGGATGGTAGATGAGGGTAAGGAGGGTCAAATATATGGTGATGGAAGGAGAGCTGACTCTGGGTGGTGAACACACAATGTGATATATAGATGATGTATTACAGAATTGTACACCTGAAACCTGTGTAACTTTACTAACAATTGTCACCCCAATAAACTTCAATAAGTAAAAAAAAACCATGCACTGCACACCTTTCCTTGATAGAAAAATGTAGTCAGTGTGGTTGAACTATTTATATTTCATATCTTCAACTCCCCATCAGATATGAAGATAAGAAACACATGAATATTGAGCTTCAGTTTCAGTAAACTAAACAGGAACCAAGTGTCCATCTTCAGGGCACAGGTGGAATGAGGCAAACACTAACACCAGGAGATGGGACTCAGAAAAAAACAACATGCTTGCCTGAAAGTAACCTTATTTTTTCAAGGGTCACTGTCCTGTTATTTGACATATTATCTTAAATCTTTATTATCTTCAAATCTTCCCTCTCTCATGCCTCTAGTAGCCAGTCATTAAGTCCTATCTTTTATTCTTCATTAATTTTTCAGGAATCTACTCCCTAGTGTTTCTTTGATTTTTTTTTAAACAAATAAGCTCCTTCAAAAATACCTATAACTAGTCTCTCTGCATCTCCGATCTTCAATATATCAATCAAGATGCTATCAATAGCTTCAAGATGGCTCTTTTAAAATAGAACTATACATATTGTGAAGGTGATCATGTATGGAATTTTTAAATGAGTTTTTTGCTTGTTTCATTTCTGTACCTTCAATTTCTGTTTTGTTCTTTTCTAAATGATTTTTAAGGCATTATAATTTTCCAAGCTAATGTTCACATCATGTGTGTGTGTGTGAGTATGTGTGTGTACTATCAGAAAACAGTGAATACTATTCAAATATTTAAGGACTTGACGTTTTAAAAGCCATAAAATAAAGAACAGTGATACCACAAATTCATTGCTTACAGCTAAGTTATCAATAGTGTCTATAACACATATTTTCTGGGGCGATGTGTACCCAGTAACCCAAGGTAGAAAGAATTCATATAATTATTTTGGTTTTTTTTCCCAGTAAACATGAAAAAAAAAACAGTTCACTATTACATTTCCAAAATACATTGGAACCTTAATTTAACACAATGTACTGTACCTAGGAGTTTGTTCTGTGATAAGTCTATCTTGAATTCCCATCCAAGAAACTGTAGTCACCAGATGGAGCAAGGTGACATAAAATATGTTCACATGGTGTAAATTTTGAAGACCATTTGTGACAGTATGCTAGTAGAGTATTCATTTAGGGATAACCTGAGCTAGAACTTGAATCACAAATAATAGCTAATAATTTTTCCATTCTCAAAAAGATCACTTAGCCAGCTATGTAGGAAATAGAAAATAAAGTTTTTCTATTTTGAATGAATGTTTCAGGCTTTTCCCTACCAGAGCCAAGTAGTAACTGAAATAGAATCTCAATTTTTGGTGATAAAAGGTATAAGGCTCATTTAATTATATATCTTTTCAGAAAAGATTTTCTTTCTAATTGTTCCACCTAGCATTTTCAATATTTGGGAATGTAAGTGACTGATATATTTATGATATATTAACTGACAGTTCATCTTTCTGCTAGTTGTATATTTAGAGAAATTTGAAGTTGTTTTAATGGGATTTAAACCATTTCTGTTTTTATACTCAAATATACCTACTTATGATTCCAAACCTATTTTTTAAAGTTAACTTCCTAATGTACCAGAACTTGAACCTGTCACTTTCCCACAAAGTTGGTGATGGGATATGTCAGTTTTATTTTTCAAAAATATGTACCATAACTTTTCTCTACCAGATAACTCTACTTTTATGTGTCTGTAGCGGTGTACCATAAAATACATGCAAAATATAAAGTATTATTAATACTTATAATAGCTTTTCATTTTACTTATATTATGAATTTAAAGTGTGAGTTGTATATTTTAAAAAATACAACTATATGTGACGCAAAATGTTCAATAAATATTTTAATCAACACATATTTGTTAAGAATTTGTTACATGTTAGGTGGGTACTCTGCTAGGTGATATGGATATAAACGAAAATAAGACACAACCTCTTGTTCTCAGGAAGTTCCTAGTTGAGTGAGGAAGCAGACATGTACTCTGACAGCACAAAATATGGAGTTTAGGGTCTATACTGTTGAGGGGAGTGAATTTTAAGGTATAGAGAAACCACACCACTTTGGATTTTACCCTACATGCTATGAGAAGCTATTTGTTGAATGAGTGGATCACTTAAGGAATTAATCAAGCCACTATGCCCAGCACTAAGTCCTCACTAGAAGCTGGTCAATCTGCCCTTCCAATTCACCACTTTGTATCCCTTAACACCAACTTCCCATTCTGTATCTCAGGAGCTTGCTTTGTTATTTCTGGCCTTTGTTCCAGAGATCCTCCTGCATGAAATCTCTTCCCCTCTTCGCTTTTCTAAACTCAACTCATCCTTCCAGATCCAACTCAAATTCCATTCTTTTCTGTGATGTCTTTCAGGGTAATTTGAGTCCATAGTTTTTTAAGTGTTCCTTTATTAAACCACACATTCTTCCTAATGTTTAGCACACCATGTTCAAGAAACATTTTTGGTCCTCTGCCTATAAAATGAAGCAAGATGGTGAGGAGATGACACGAAGGCAAAAGTCAGAGCCTGAGGGAAACTGGCCTAAGAAAGCCCACAGTATATGAGTACACTAATCTCAGTAACTTCTTTTACCACTCTCAAGCTGGGAAATGAAATAATATGAATTGTGAAGAGAACTGCATCTGTATTGGGCAGCAACTCTGCTTTACTATGAGTATGTGGCATTGCTGGCTGTATACATCACAGCTCTGGTTCTAAAATCAGAGAATTAATGAGAAGCGATACTAACAAAACAGCTGAATGATACAGCTGTGAACTTTGGGGGGAAAGCTCTTGGGAAAGGAGGGGACTGTGATTGTGTTTTACCACTTGCAGTAAACCAAGAG